CTCGTCCCCCGGCGGCGCCTTTTTTTTAAATTTTCTTCCTTTTTAACGGCGTTTTTTGGGAATTTCGGATTTTTTTGAATTTTTTCGCAATAATATTTGAAAAATAGATAAATTTTAACACATTTTAATGCAATAAAAATTTTTGGTCGGAGTCCCCTTTTAACTCAAGACATGAGCGCAAAGTATATTTGAAGTGAGAAATTGATTTAACCGATTTCAAAATTCCTTATATAACAAAATTTCTGGAGTTCTTGAAGTTTTTGAACTTGCAAAAATCTTATGTGTCTCTTTGTTTGGCATCGACAATCGAGATGTTTTTTGGAAGAAATCCTGACTTGTTACATCCTTGTCACACTAGCTCGGCAGTTTGAATTTTGGAAAGCCCTGTTTTCAAAGTCATCAGACTTCCCTCTCAGTCCAAAAAGTTTGAAAGACAAACAATCCCGAAAATCGTCTACATTGGTATTTCTTATTTAGAAACATTTTAGGCGTATTATTCGGAAGGTGAAAAGCAAATTGAGGCTACAAAATTCACTATTCGGCGAGTACAAGATACGAATTTTCAGGAAATTCGTACGCCCGGGGTTTGTTTGCACCCCAGAAATAAAAAAAGATGAAAATATCTTTTCTCAATTTTTTCCATATAAGCCTCTCAAGAAGTTTTAAAAGTATTAAAGGTCCGGTGCCGCTAAATTGTTGCATTTTATGCTTTTTTTGAAATCTTCATTAAAGCCATAAAATCAAGATAAAAGTATATTTCTCAAAAAAGGCTCAAAATTAGTAAAATGAAATAATCCTAGAACTTTGGTTCGATTGTAGAATGATTTCATTGCACATCTAATCGAACTTATCAGGAGAATAACTTCACCGAATCTCTCCGGTCCTCTGGTTGGAAACTTTTTCGTTGAATGCTCCATAAGTTGCAGGAGTAGATTATTTCGAATCTCCATAACATTTTTCAGATCCACACGATTTGGATAAGAGGCTGAAAATGACTGTGAAATTTTGCTGAAAATGAGGAAAACTCACAACTCAGGAGTAAAAGTGATTTAAGAACAGCAGGTTCGAAATCGTCTATTTTCAGATTTTTGAATGGGATGGCTATGGTATTAATTAATTCCGAAACAAAATGATCACTGTAATGGAATAATGAAGAGCAAGTACTTTGGACTTGCTACCTTGTTAGCAACTCACACCGAAAGATTGTTCTGCTTAACTTCTAAAACCTTTCCATTTTGCAATAACCAATATCCCTCATCAACTGCTTCCTGTGCAGTTTTGAATCCTTGATCAATCAATAAAAACAATATTCCATATTCAGAGAGCACCATTCTCTTTTCCTTTTGAGCTAGAATTCGATAGGCATCAAATTGGTTTCCCCACTCATCAGCATCCTTCATTCCCAACTTCAAGGCCAGGTTTATATCAGCAGAAGTAGCATGATCTTTCTTATCACCGATTGGTGGGTTACTGTAGTTTTTGTGTAGTTTTCTGTGACGTGAACGCTGATTCTGCTGGAGGTGGATGAGATGGTTTAAAAAGTGGTTTGCGGTGGGGGATCCTGAAAATCGAAGAGTGACTCGGTGGTAATATTTAGGAGGTTTTATGAAACCTGAAGTTTGATTGGAAACATCTATCCATGCTTCCGATTCAGAGAAGATGGATGAAATCGGTTTAGGATTCCTCGGTCCAAGACGGTCCCGTTGTTGAACGGCTGAAAGTAGGATGACTAGTTGGCTAGCTTGCATTATTTATGTTTGAAATTTTGGAAAGGTGAAAAGTATTTCCAAGTTCTCTCAATTTAAAAAAAATCCCGAATTTCGGAATACCAAAAAGAAAGTGCTTTTTAGAGGAGAGAGTGGAAATTGAAATCGCCAAAAAGCTCCAGACATAGCTTCTTAGTTTAGGGGTGTGAACGGAGGCTAGATATTACTGGCATCGTGTAGCGATTGTCTCAAACTATAAGCAATGTTCTCAAAGAACCTATTTAAAACGTTTCTTGTCAAAATGGAGGCAAGTACAGTATCTTTTAAAAATTTACCGACTCCATCACTTTTATGTTGAAAATGGTCCACATTGGATGTCAAAAAAATGAAGCAAAATTTGTTGAATGAGGCTGAAAATTTTCAGTTTTACTAAACGAAAATAGAGCTTCAATTTTGTATCTGACAACTTTTTTGTATAAATTTGTCCAAATGAGATAAACCGCTTGAAACCAACCAAGTGTCAAAAATTTTAAAAATAGCACAGAGTTCAGAGTCGTGCAACTTTCAAACGGTAAATCTTATTCGGGCGGATTTGTACAGAAAGGTCTGTCCACTACAAAATTGAATCTCTATTTTTAGTACACCTGAAAATTTAAAATCTCATTCAATATAATCTGCTATCTATTGATTTTTCTAACAAAATTTTGTTAGTTTATCACTTTCTGATATCTTTTACAAAAAATGAGATATATCGGCTAAAAGTTGACAGTTTGGGGGGTGGGGTTCTATTACGAAATTCGGAGAGTACAACGAGTTGTACTTAAAAGTGATTTAGCGATATTACTCTCTTCCGAAATCAATGCACGTTGCGGCCGAAAATTTACTCAAAATCGCATCTTCGGTCGCAAAGCGAAAACAACAAATGAAGCATGCGCCTTTAAATACCGTACCTCGGACGTTTTTTATTTTGGGCCCTATTTGGCTGGTTTTTTCTATTTTTTAAGAAAAATAAATAAAGATTTATAAGAATTACACAAGATTAGACAGAAAAAAGCGAAAAAATAAGAGAAAAAGGCAAAAATTCCATAAAAGTTGAGGTACTGTATTAAAGGCGCGTGCAATAATTTGAAAAATACAGTAGTGTTCTCTCTGTGGGAGCTAAGCTCCGCCCACCGTTGTTTTCTCGGCCGCAACGTGCATTGATTTTGGACAAGAGTAATACATAGTTTACAATTCGTTTAGGTTAGACTGTTTCATAATTCCCTTGAACACCTGAAAGATTCCTAGACAGCAATATTCGGATTGAGAGAGAAGAAACAAACCTCTAGGTTCCATGCCAACGTGGAAACATTTCCTCAGCCGGCAAGCTCTACACGAGCACCTCGATTCTAAAACATTCATATTTTAATCCTAAGCGTCAAAATAATCCTCACCATAATCAATAACACACTTTCCATTCTTCCAGCACTTGTACTGACTTTTATTGATGACCGATCTTCGAAAAAATATCACGCAACCGAGGCAAGATGGTACACCATACTGTCTCGAGTGAACCACGTCACCACAGACCGCGCAGAAAGAACCTGATGACGTGGGTGGAGCTGATGTTGATGACGTGGAGGGTACAGAAGTCATGAACTAAAAGTGACCTTTGATGGAAAAGAAATTTGGTGAATAGAGACAATTTCGGAAAACTGTTTATTGTCTGATCTTCAAATATGAACACTGATTTTCATGCATCAAATCATGACCCGTATCTCCGAATTTCTCTTCATCCTTTGATCTTTTTGTCATCACTATTCTGAGAATACGGTAGATAGTATGAAATCACTAAAAGTTCAGATAGATCAGCATCATTTTTTTGAAACCTATGATTTCTCAGACTGAAAAAAGACAAACTAAACAACCCTTTTTAATAATACGAAAATCTCTTCAAAGGGATTTTGATTCGGGAAAAAGAGTGAAATAATTTTTTTTCGTGAAATTTGGAACAGATAAACATGGAAGTGGAGATATCCAATTGGAGAAGACGGGCCTTTGGATCAGAACACAAGCACTCCCTGGATACGAATCTTCTGTGTAGGTTGGACTTGTGCTGTTCACCGATTGGTGGGTTGCTGTAGTTTTTGTGTAGTTTTCTGTGACGTGAACGCTGATTCTGCTGGAGGTGGATGAGATGGTTTAAAAAGTGGTTTGCGGTGGGGGGTCCTGAAAATCGAAGAGTGACTCGGTGGTAATATTTAGGAGGTTTTATGAAACCTGAAGTTTGATTGGAAACATCTATCCATGCTTCCGATTCAGAGAAGATGGATGAAATCGGTTTAGGATTCCTCGGTCCAAGACGGTCCCGTTGTTGAACGGCTGAAAGTAGGATGACTAGTTGGCTAGCTTGCATTATTTATGTTTGAAATTTTGGAAAGGTGAAAAGTATTTCCAAGTTCTCTCAATTTAAAAAAAAATCCCGAATTTCGGAATACCAAAAAGAAAGTGCTTTTTAGAGGAGAGAGTGGAAATTGAAATCGCCAAAAAGCTCCAGACATCGCTTCTTAGTTTAGGGGTGTGAACGGAGGCTAGATATTACTAGCAAATAATTTTTTTTCGTGAAATTTGGAACAGATAAACATAAAAGTGGAGATATCCAATTGGAAAAGACGGGCCTGCGGATCAGAACACAAGCACTCCCTGGATACGAATCTTTTGTGTAGGTTGGACTTGTGCTGTTGTCAGCAAAACATCCTAGATTTTAATCTCGGTCTTTTGCGAAGTATTTTGCAAAGGAGATGTGGAAGGAATTGTTGCTGACCTTTCAAAACAAGGCAGAGAGGTTTTTTAAAAGTATTTTGTTTAGTTGCAGAATCTACTCACCGAAAAAAACTGTATTAGAAGGGCCTCTTCAATAAAAATCCCCCTCAATTTTCAACTTCCGATCAAAATCTGACCATGGCCTGCCATAAAGCCGTTTTTAGGCAAGTTACGACCAGAGCTTGAAAAAGATTTGGCTGAAATCCGTAGTACTCAAATTCTGACCCGAATATACAAGACGATATACAAGTAGCACATTTTGGCGGTAAGCCCAACGTCACCGAAAATTCCCTGAGTGTTTTTTAAAACTAGAAACTGTTTTCTCAATTTTGTGACCAGATCGGTGATTAGAGTTTGTGACTTCCTGATCGTTCGGAACTTCCGTGATATCATATACTGTATTTCCGCCCGCGCAGTTGATCCACCGGAAGATAACTTCAGGCCCACATCAGGATCAACCTATACAGAGTCTTCAGGTTTATTTGATTTTCCATGACGTTTCTCAATTTACCTTTATCAAACCATTTTATCAGTCCTATATTTTAGTAGACTCTATATTTTTTTTCATGTTTGAGAATGCCTACTTTAATCGATATTCCAGAAACTGTACTAGACCAGATTTTGGAAAACTGTGATTTTCGAGCAATGTGAGTGACTTAGAAAAAAATTTTCAAATCTTTTTTCAGAATCTGTCTCCGAAAAGTTTGCCAATCTCTTCGCGATTATATAGATAAATCCATTCCTGATTCAAGACTGTCATCTCTCGAATTGTCTGTTCTCGAAGACAGTGCTGTTGTTCGTTACGGAAAATTCGGAACAGTTCAGTACGCAAAGGAAGAGAATGGATGTAGTCTGGACCCAGGATATTTGGCAGAGAGGAAACATTTTGAGAACGAAAATTTCATGATTCTTTTTTTCAACGACTTCAAATTTGCCATCAAACATCAGAAAACAACATTGGATATGTGTAATTTGAAATGTCTCGCAGAATCTGGTTTGGGGAACTTTCTAGAAGAACTAAAAGAAATTTTGAAATCTAGAAGAACTTTTCTGAAATCTGAAGAAGTCCACATTGAGATTATTAATCATAGGGATATTATGTCATATTTACCGTATCTCGATTCAAATGTTCTGGAAAATATATGGATTTTCGATACTCTGGGCCGAGAGCCCAAACAATTATTGGAACTTCGAGAGCTTGTAGAATTGGAGCAGTGGAAAAACGCCAAGCAGATTGGAATTCCAACATTTTTCATCTCAAATAACGATCTGGAACAGTTTCTCCATCTCCGGCATTCTCTATTTTGTTTGGAAACAGTTAGCATGGAATGTTTGAAGTTCTTGAGAGAGGTAAGAGATCGTTACATCTGAAATAAATATCTAGATTTTCCAGAAAATCATCTCATCTGGAATTATTGAAATTTTAGATTTCAATTATGATCATTTTGATGGAGATGATCGAAGTCTTGTTGAGATGTTTGGAATGGTTTCCGTGGAAGATGAAATTGGTAAAAAATGGTATTTCAAAAAAGAGGACCAGGAGAGAAAAATATGGGAATTTTCACATGAGACATTTGAAAATCCACGTTTTGCGTTTTGCAGTCTCAAAGAAGATCAAGTACCTGATAGAGCAGTGATTAAGGTTTTATCATAAAGTGATTGATTTTTTGTTGGTTTGCCTAGTTTTCGAATATTTACCTAATGACAAATTTTTCCTTATCAATCTATTTCCTGTCCTTTTTCCAAATAAAGAGTGTTTGCCGCTTCATTTTTGTGTATTTCTTTTTTTCATTTTTGTGTATTATTCACTTTTCCGAAATAGCACAAAATTCCATTTTTGAAAATGACTTCTTCATTGGACTATATGATGTTTGTATTGAATTTGGTCCTGGAAAAATGCGAGTTTCGAGAAATGTAAGTTGTCTTTTTTTAGCTCTATTATTCTGATTCGAAAAAATTGGAGCTGTGGAAGAGATCGAAGGTTCCAAAAGCGACAACTACCGTAATCTAGGAATATGTTTATTCTCCGATTTATTTTTTGTTTTTCACTGCTTTTCGTCGAATTCTTTACTACTTTTC